TCCAAGGCTGAGGGCTGCTCGCTGAAAGGAATGATTTTCTTTTCCCCTCAGAGACCCCCGGTCTGTGGAGAGATTCCTGGTTTATCAGCAGAATTTTGGGGAACACCCCTTAAACACGGGAATAACGGCAGTTTATGTTCAGAGATGTTCAAAGTTTATTAGACATTAATAAGATTATATAGACTACAGATAATAATAAGGGAGGGGGGGGAGCGAGTTTCAAAACTGTAACTTGTAACTTTCCATCATGAGCTAACTACATGAAACATAACATATACATTTCTTGGTACAAATTGTTTTGGCTAACTTTCTGGAAAACAGCCAGACAAAGACATTGTCAGGGTCATGTTAGCTTCTGTTGATAACATCCTTGAACAACCAAAACAGTTTCATTAAACTTCTAATATATCTGCAAAAAGCTAACTTAATACTTAAAATGGTGTACATAATACAAAATGGAAGTTATCTAGATCCTTTCAATCCCCTCTGAGATCATGAACATGATCTCAATTCTTTACTTCATTCATCTTTTTGTACATAGCCAGATAACCTTCATTTGTATTTTGCGGCTTGGTAGCTCTAGCAATGCAATATAATGAGCATTTAAAACATAGATATAAAGATAAAACAAAAAACAATATCATGACTATGCTTACAGCGATACCTTTCATCCTTGAAAAGATGGAACCAAATCCTGATCCTAACCAATCAAAAGGAGTCCATCCATCTTTTCCTATAGCTCTAGCTTCTTCCATCAAACCATCTACCTGTTCCCTGTGTTGCTTTATTATTTCATAATAATCTGGAACAGTCATTGTGGTATTATATATCCAAGTACAACATTCATAATCCTCTGTCATCTCACACAGACCTGTCAGAGCAGCACTCATACTTTCAATAGCTAATTCTTGCATCTCCAGCTGTTTTCTAATAGCTCTGGTCTCAGAGTTAGTTGGTGTTTTGGGTATGTACTGGCTTTTACCTGATGTTCCTTTTGGTCTATAGCTGCCATAATTGGCACTAATTGGGCTACATAGCACCAGCCCTGGACATTACTCGGTATCCAAGGGTAACAGATCTTACCACAACAGATATAGGTATTGTTTCCCAAGGAGATCGGCAATTTTTGTATTGCAGAGCGAAATTCAGGGTGACAACTAGAGATGAGCGAATCGAACTCGGTGAAGTGGAATTCGTTTCGAATATTAGGAAAATTTCGATTCGCGCCGAATCCGAAAATTAGCAGACTTCGGATGCGCGAATCGAAATTTTTCCAAAAATGGCGGCGACATGTGCGGCGACGGAGCGGGGATCTGTGGGAAGGCGCGCAGACAAGGCAGCGCTGACCCATAATGCATTCATTCATGACATGTGATAGCATTAGCCAATCAGCAGCCAGCCAGCCAGCACTGTGTAATGGTCGACTATAAATTGCGACCATTTTAGAATTCTCCATTAGCCTCCAGTCATTCAAGAGAGACAGACCACCTGTCTGTATTGAGGGACAGGAGTTAGGGCCACAGAATCGTTACTTAGGGCCACAGAATCGTTACTTAGGGCCACAGAACCGTTACTTAGGGACACAGAACCGTTACTTAGGGACAGACACAATCGTTACTTAGGGACACACAATCGTTACTTAGGGACAGAGAATTGTTTACTGAGGGACAGAGAATTGTTACTGAGGGACAGAGAATTGTTACTGAGGGACAGACACAGAATTGTTACTGAGGACAGACACAGAATTGTTACTGAGGGACAGACACAGAATTGTTACTGAGGACAGACACAGAATTGTTACTGAGGGACAGACACAGAATTGTTACTGAGGACAGACACAGAATTGTTACTGAGGGACAGACATTTTAGAATTGTTTTACTGAGGGACAGACACAGAATTGTTTACTGAGGGACAGACACAGAATTGTTACTGAGGGACAGACACAGAATTGTTACTGAGGGACAGACACAGAATTGTTACTGAGGGACAGACACAGAATTGTTACTGAGGGACAGACACAGAATTGTGTTACTGAGGGACAGACACAGAATTGTTACTGCGGGGACAGACACAGAATTGTTACTGAGGGACAGACACAGAATTGTTACTGAGGGACAGACACAGAATTGTTTACTGAGGGACAGACACAGAAATGTTTACTGAGGACAGACACAGAATTGTTACTGAGGGACAGACACAGAATTGTTACTGAGGGACAGACACAGAATTGTTACTGAGGGACAGACACAGAATTGTTACTGAGGGACAGACACAGAATTGTTACTGAGGGACAGACACAGAATTGTTACTGAGGGACAGACACAGAATTGTTACTGAGGGACAGACACAGAATTGTTACTGAGGGACACAGAATTGTTAACTGAGGGACACAGAATTGTTACTGAGGGACCACAGAATTGTTACTGAGGGACACAGAATTGTTACTGAGGGACACAGAATTGTTACTGAGGACACAGAATTGTTACTGAGGGACACAGAATTGTTACTGAGGGGACACAGAATTGTTACTGGGGGACACAGAATTGTTACTGAGGGACACAGAATTGTTACTGAGGGACAGACACAGAATTTGTTAACTGAGGGACAGACACAGAAATTGTTACTGAGGGACAGACACAGAATTGTTACTGAGGGACAGACACAGAATTGTTACTGAGGGACACAGAATTGTTACCTGAGGGACACAGAATTGTTACTGAGGGGACACAGAATTGTTACTGACGAGGGACACAGAATGTGTTATGAGGGACAGACACAGAATTGTTACTGAGGGACACAGAAAATTGTATTACTGAGGGACACAGAAATTGTTACTGAGGGACAGACACAGAATTGTTACTGAGGGTACAGACACAGAATTGTTACTGAGGGACACAGTGAATTGTTACTGAGGGACACAGAATTGTACACTGAGGGACACAGAATTGTGTTACTGAGGGACACAGAATTGTTACTGAGGGACAGACACAGAATTGTTACTGAGGGACAGACACAAGAATTGTTACTGAGGGACACAGAATTGTTACTGAGGGACACAGAATTGTTACTGAGAGGGACACAGAATTGTTACTGAGGGACACAGAATTGTTACTGAGGGACACAGAATTGTTACTGAGGGACACAGAATTGTTACTGAGGGGACACCAGAATTGTTACTGAGGGAACACACACAGAATTGTTACTGAGGGACAGACACACACAGAATTGTTACTGAGGGACAGACACAGAATTGTTACTGAGGGACAGACACAGAATTGTTACTGAGGGACAGACACAGAATTGTTTACTGAGGGACAGACACAGAATTGTTACTGAGGGACAGACACAGAATTGTTACTGAGGGACAGACACAGAATTTTTACTGAGGGACAGACACAGAAATTGTTACTGAGGGACAGACACAGAATTGTTTACTGAGGGACACAGAATGTTACTGAGGGACACTGAATTGTTACTGAGGGACACAGAATTGTTACTGAGGGACACAGAATTGTTACTGAGGGACAAGAGAATTGTTACTGAGGGACAGACCACAGAATTGTTACTGAGGGACACAGAATTGTTACTGAGGGACACAGAATTGTTACTGAGGGACACAGAATTGTTACTGAGGGACACAGAATTGTTACTGGAGGGACACAGAATTGTTACTGAGGGACACAGAATTGTTACTGAGGGACACAGAATGTTACTGAGGGACAGACACAGAATTGTTACTACTCAGGGACACAGAATTGATAACTCAGGGACACAGAATTGTTACTCAGGGACACAGAATTGTTTACTCAGGGACACAGAATTGTTACTCAGGGACACAGAATTGTTACTGAGGGACACAGAATTGTTACTCAGGGACACAGAATTGTTACTCAGGGACACAGAATTGTTACTCAGGGACACAGAATTGTTACTCAGGGACACAGAATCGTTGAATTAAAGAGTATGTCAGACAACACGCAGAGGAGTGGCAGAAGGAGGCAATGTTTTAGGAGCGAGCAGACGTGACAGCAGAGGAAGGGGTCAAAGGCAGCACTAGTCGCAGCCAGAGGGCCAGTGCTCCCGGTGTCATCCAGCGGTCGTGTCTCCACCGACAACCCTGCCGTCATCGATTGGTTGGCTCGTCGTCTTCCCTCTTCCCAGGTCACCTCTGACACACCTACAGCAAACGGTCGGTGGGTACGTCAGACACAACCGTTAGTTGGCATGGCCCGGGACCAAGCCCACTGAAATCACGTGTCCCTTACCTGCCCCTGTCCTTTGGGTGTTCCCCTCACCAAGTGAAGTATCGCATGCTGTGGGCTCAGCCCCACTGTAACAGTGAGGAAAGAGCTAACAGAGTAGGGCGGTCAGGAACGGGGGGAGACATCCGCCTCTCACAGCAGCCAGGCGAAGAGTACTCTGGCGAGGAGAGTGATCGGTAGCCGGTCTAGAGACAGGTCTGTCTCCTGACCACACGCAGCCGAGGGGGCTAGTAGTGAGGCGGAGACCCTAATTGATGATGATGAGCTGAATCGCACTTGGCAGCCTCGTCGTCATCAGGCTATTGCTTACCGCATCATCAGGAGAAGAGGGTGCCAGCTTGGCAGCGAGCAAACAGTCGGTGGGTTGCCCAGGAGGCCAGCAGGGTCGCAGCAGTGTCAGTGGGAGCCAAACGTCCACGAGTAGAGCACCAGCTCCACTGCAGCCTACCACCACGGGCCAGTAGTGGTGTCGGTGTGCAACGGAGGAAGTAGCAGTCAGCCAGATGAGGAGTAAGCGGGGGCAAAGTTTCCTACTCGGCGGTGTGTGGCAATTTTTTGTCAAGCACCGCCCGAGGATAAGTCAACGTAGCCGTATGTCGACTATGTGGCCAGAAAGTCAAGCGTGGCAGGGGGGGCCTCATGTTGGGACTACAGCGTTGCGTCAGCATATGCAGCGTCCCGCCATTCGGTGGCCTGGGAAAACCGGTGATAAAGATACGGCGGTTCTGCCTGCCTCCTCATGCTGCTGCCAGGTCCAGAGTCTCATCCACTCATGGGTCCCTGTACGGGCCTCCCATTGCTGCTGTCTCCATCGCCACACTCTCCTCTGCCATGTGCCACTTTCAGGTCTCCTCACACTGCTGGTGTGTTCCATTTTGTCATAGGGTGCTGGCAGATTACGGGCCTCCCATTGCTGCTGCCAGGGCCCGTAATCTGCCATGGGCCCCCGTACCGCCTCCTCATGCTGCTAGCCAGGTCCAGAGTCTCTCATGGGTCCCTGTACGGCCTCCCATTGCTGCTTTCTCTCCATCGGCCACACTCTGCCCATGTGCCCACTTTCAGGTATCCTCACACTGCTGTGTGTTGTTCCATTTTGTCATAGGGTGCTGGCAGATTACGGGCCCACTCCCATTGACTGCTGCCAGGCCCGTAATCTGCCATGGGCCCCCGTAACCCCCGCCTCTCTCATGCTGCTGCCCGAGGTCCAAGATCTCTCATGGGTCCCTGTACGGCCTCCCATTGCTGAAATGGTCAGTCATCGCCACACTCTGCCATGTGGCCATTTTTTAGATTTTTTTTTTCTTTTTTTTTCTTTCAGGTCTCTCACACTGCTGGTGTGTTCCATTTTGTCATAGGTGCTGGCAGATTACGGGCCTCCCATTGCTGCTGCCAGGCCCGTAATCTGCCATGGGCCCCCCGTAACCGAGACTCCTCATGCTGGGACGTTGCAACAAGGTGTGGAATTCAACCCTACATATTTTTAGACCCCCATCGGCCTTTACGAACAGCGAAAGCCCATCACCGATTTCCTGATGTTACAAGCGGATAAAAGGTACTCCCCTGTGTAACTTCGATGTCAGCCATTGGCAGCTCATGCGTGACACCTGCCACTCTTGCTCAGGCCCTTTGAGGAGGCCACGCTATTCAGTTGAGTCGGCAGACTATGGGATGAACGACGTCATTCCTCTGTTGCAACGTCCTGGAACAAATGCTGTTAACAATGGGCTGGTCAGGGGTGCTGTAGACGTGGCGCACAGATCTCAACGCCACATGACCCCTGTGGGGGCAGGACAGGAGAAGAAGAGGAGGTAGAGGAGGACATTGGTGCTCAGGAATTATTGAGTGAAATGGGTGGTTTTTTCCACTCAGCGGACAGGAGTGGAGGAGCAGGAGCATCTGGTAGAGGAGGAGGAGGAGGAGACAGAGGAACCCAGAAGCCCCAAGAACACGTGGCAGTATGCTGTGGAGATGGAGGCAGGGAGAGTCTCTCGCATTCCTTGGCACAAATGGCCCATAGCATGCTCGGGTTGGTTGCGTAGCGACAGCCGAATAATAACCATCAGACTAGAGGGATGATTTTTGGCTGTCCACCCATGTTGGACCCTCGCTACCGTTCAAAAATGGTGGCCTTTTTCACACCTGCTGGAGAGGGAGGCCAAAATAAGTACTATAAAAACCACCTATGTAGTCAGCTTGGTCTCTGCCTTTCTGCGCCAACGTCCATCCTCACACATGTGGGCCCTGTGCGCTCTCCGCGTCCCCGCGCCGCTTCCCATGTACATTGCAGCAGGGAGGGTAGCTGGGTAGGTACGGCAGCAGTGGCAGCTCCACCAGCATCGGCTGCCTCAGTCTTTGCAGTCGATGATGAGTAGCTATCCTTCAACAGCGGGCATGAGGAAACGACTAACCACATCCGCAAGCAGCAGCATCATCAGGAGGACCTGAGCAGGACCTCAAACCAACAGGTGTTGACCTACTATGGAACAGCACCCTGCCAACCGTAGGTTAGACAATCCCCCTTGACTACTGGGCAACGAAACTTGACCCCTTTGGCCGCCGAACGAGCTGAATCTTGCCCTGTGAAAATGCTGTCATGCCAAAAGCCAGTAGCGTGGCATCGGAGCGCGTGTTTAGTGCGGCAGGAGGTATTGTAAACTCCGCGGAGTGGACACGACTGTCCACACCATCAGTGTGGAGAGACTCACCGTTTGTGAAAATGAATCAGGCGTGGATTAGTCTAAGATTTCAAACCACCAGTTCCTGACACAACTGAACTAAGATCCGCCATGAATCATTGCCCCAAAACATGGTTGCCACTTTCAGGTCTCCTCACACTGCTGTGTGAGGTTCCATTTTGGTCATAGGGTCTGGCAGATTACAGAAAGCCTCCCCATTGCTCAGAGCCAGGCCCGTAATCTGCCATGGCGGCCCCCGTATCCTTACCCTGCCTCCACATGCTGCTGCCAGGTCCCAGATGTCTCTTTCATGGGTCCCTGTACGGCCTCTCCATTCGATCCTGCTGTCTCCCATCGCCATCACTCTTGACATGGTGCCACTTCCAGGTCTCACTCCTCACACTGGGCTTGTGGGTTCCACTTTTGTCATAGGTTTGCTGTAATGGCCTCCCATTGCTGATGCCAGGGCCCGTAATACTGCCATGGGCTGCCCCCCGTACCGACACTGTTCCTCAATGCTGCTGCCAGGCCCGTAATCTGTCATGGGCCCCCTGTACCTCTCGCCTCCTCATGCTGCTTGCAGCAGAGGTCTCCAGAGTGTGTCATGGGTCCCTGTACGGCCTCCATTGCTGCTGTCCTCCATCGCCACAACTCTGCCATGTGCCACTTTCAGAGTCTCCTCACACTGCTGGTGTGTTCCATTTTGTCATAGGGTGCCAGGCAGATTAGAACGGCCTGTCCCATTGCTGCTGCCAGGCCCGTAATCTGCCATGGGCCCCCGTACCGGACCCTCATGCTGTGACGTTTGCAACAAGGTGGAATTCACCCTACATAATGTTAGACCGCCTTTACGAACAGCGAAAGGCCATCACCGATTTCCTGAAGTTACAAGCGTATAAAGGTACTCCCCTGTGTAACTTCGATGTCAGCCATTGGCAGGCTCATGCGTGACACCTGCCGCTTGCTCAGCGGGGGCCCTTTGAGGAGGCCACGCTATTCAGTGAGTCGGCAGGACTATGGGATGAACGACGTCATTCCTCTGTTGCAACGTCCCCTGGAACAAATGCTGTTAACAAATGGCTGGTCAGGGTGCTGTAGACGTGGCGCCACAGATCTCAAACGCCACATGACCCCCCTGTGGGGGCAGGACATCAAGAAGAGGAGGAGGTAGAGGGGGGGGGGGGGGACATTGGTGCTTTAGGAATTATTGAGTTTAAATGGGTGGTTTTTTTTCCCCCTCGCGGGCAGGAGTGGGGGAGCAGGGGCCTTTTGGTAGAGGAGGAGGGGGAGGAGACAGAGGGCCCAAAACCCCAACCCCTGGCAGTATGCTGTGGAGATGGAGGCAGGGAAATCCCCTCGCCAAATTCCCTTTGGGACAAATGGCCCATAGCCTGCTCGGTTGGTTGCGTACCGGGCGCCGAAAAATAACCATCAGACAGGGGGGATATTTTTTTGGGTTTCCACCTTTTTGGACCCTCGCTACCGTTCAAAAATGGGGGCCTTTTTTACACCCGCTGAGAGGGGGGGCCAAAAAAAAAAGTACTATAAAAAAACCCCCCA